GTCGAGTTCGTCCCTGCGGATCTCGTGGATGCCCTGAAGTGAAAGTCCCAGCGGCTTGAACCACTCCACGCCCAACAGGTTCGGTCGGCTGTGCTGCACAATGGTGATGGGTAGCTTTCCGTTGAAGTCGTTGTACTTCACTCGGATTGTGGCTCTGCCTAGGATTTCAATGGGGTTCCCGTTGAAGTCCACAAGTCTCGCCTTCGGGGTTTTCAGCTGGGTCCTTTTGTATGCCGGGTTCAGCTGCTGTAGGTGCTGCCAGTCCATGATGGAGTAGGCGGATCCGGAGTCTACCTCCATCTTGCACGGAGACCCCTCTGCTAGCAGCGTCACGTGGAACTTGGTGGTTCCCTCGTCGCTTGTGTGAGCAATGGTGGTGGTCTGGTGCACCGTTCTGTTGCGGGGATATTCCTCCTCCCCGCGCCGGGACTGGTTTGAGGACCGTTTGGATGTCCTCTGGTTATCTTTGCGATTTTCCCTGAATCGCGGTCTGGGTGGTTCCGGGGCTGGATCTGTGGCTCTGCAGGCCTCTGCGATGTGGCCCCTCTTCAGGCATCGGCGGCAGGTCGCGTCCCTCCATCTGCAGTTTGCCCTGGGGTGGTCGCCTCTGCAGCTGCCGCATCGCTCTCCCCGGTCGCCATGCTGTGGGTTTTCCCGCCTGGGGGGGGCGGGACACCTTGTGGACGGCCATTTCCTCATCAGACTCGGATTGAGTGGTTGCCTCGTCTGATGAGGTCGGGCCCGACTTGTGGATCTTATGGATCCCCCTTGCTTTTACCATCGCGGCGGCTGCTTGCTCAGACGTTTCAGCCGCCGTTGCCTCGTCGAGGACATCTTTGAGCGGAATCTTCTTCCGGCTGAGGAACTTCTTCTGCAGCCCCACATCTCGCATTCCAAACACAATGCGGTCCCGGATGGCATTGTCCACATTGTCGAACTCGCAGTTGGCAGCGATTTGGCGAAGCGCTGCCACGAATTCCTTGATGGATTCACCTTCCCGCTGGTTTCTTTGCTGGAAGGTGAACCTGTTTGCGATGGGGGTGCCTGTAGGTGCATAGTGCTCCTGTAGGACTTCCTGCAGGTCGTTCCAGGACATCTCCTCGATGTCCCTGGGTGCCACGAGGTCAATCGCCATCTCCAGAACGTCCGATCCGCAATGAGCCAGGAAAAGGGCTCTTTTTCTCTCCTCATCGAGGTTCTGGTATCCATTGCCTCGCAGGAACTGCCGGAATCGGACCATGTATGACCTCCACTTCTCCCGGGATGGGTCGAATGGGTTCAGCGCGGTCATCGGGGCTTGCGGGGTAGCCATTCTGGAAGGTCGCTGTGGTGTGGTGATTTTGTTCGGTGGGCGATCGTGCCAAGAGTCTTGTGAAGGTTCTTCTCTCTAGTCCTTCGTCGCCAGTGTTAGATCCGGCGCAGGGAAAGAAGACTGGACCAGCTCGATACATTAAGCAACTTTTATTCATTACAAGTAACGAGTCAAGACTGCTGGCGCGCTGCCGGAGCTCTCCTTATATTCGCTCCCGGCAGACGCACCGCCCCTTGACAGGGATTCAAATCTCCCGCCCGATGGCTGGCAGCCAATCAGGGCGGATGTCCTTATAAGGACATAACAGAAAGGATTTGGAAACAGGAGCTGGTAAGACAGGGAACAAGTAGCCTTGGACCAGGCAAGTCTATTATATATAAAAACAGTGCAGACGCCATCAGCAGCTCAGTCTGAGGAACGAGCTGCAAGCAATCTGTTTTGATGAAAGGATGAGAGAAAGAAGCTGAAGAATTAAACTTTGTAATGAGCAGGTGCACATTAGATGTGGAGAGAGAGAGAGGGAGGGAGAGGGAGATGATTAGATTCTGTGGAAGCTGATTTTTATAATCAGTAAGGACACTTAAGTGTCCTCAATCAAAGCAACTTATCTTCTAAACCTATGTCCTTAACTGAAGAGAGTAGGCGAAGAGGGCTGAAACATTCTTTAAGTCCTGGGAAACATGATAATATTGCCGGCAGCATCCCTTGTAAGATTCTATTATTATAGCTGCTCTCAATAAAAAATAGTTCTGGTCTTCCTGTGGAATCGATTCCCTGGTCTGGTCTGCCTAGCTGGGTTGACGTGTCTCTTCCTAGACCAGGAGGCATTATGTATGGTCACTCATGTTTTGGTCACCTCCTGAATGGATTACAGTACAGCACTGCAATGTGTTTTACAAGGTGGTGTCTTTGAAGTATATCTGGAAGCTGCATTTGTCCGTAAAGCTATTGTAGATGACCAGTCTGAGCTTGAAGGAGAGGGGGGTCAAATGCGTCATCAAACTCAAGTCCTTTCGAACCCACAAGAGATCTAAATCCAGCTCAGCTTGAATCCAGTTGACTCTTATCTACCACCAATTTGCTTTCACCATTAGTAGTTCAGATTCTTGTAGAGAGCATTAGCATACAATAAACCTATACTCATTTGAACTGCCTAAATTCCCGATTTCCTGTGCTTGACAGCAGCGGCCTATGTAAGCATTATGATATCTATATTACACTTCTGCTTTGTGAGCTGCATTGGCATCCAATATGTGCTCACTAATAAAGCCCTTCATGTCATAGAGTTATATTATTTGAAGGATTGCCTGTCTCTGCAATGGTCTCTCCTGTCCCATCAGGAACAGCAGAAAAGACATGTTCCAAGTTCCATCATTTAGACAATGTCATTTTGAGGGACTCAAGAAGTATGCCTTTTCTATGCTTTGAAAGAGGCGGTAGTGAGGCCCCTCCTCAAGAAGCCCTCCCTGGACCCAGCTGAATTAGCCAACTACCATCCGGTCTCCAACCTTCGTTTTGTAGCGAAAGTTGTTGAGAGTGTGGTGGCACGACAGCTTCCCCAGCACCTGGATGAAGCTATCTATCTGGACCTGTACCAGTCGGGCTTCAGACAGGGGTACAGCACAGAAACGGCATTGGTTGTGTTGGTGGATGATCTTTGGAGGGCTCGGGACGGGGATTGCTCCTCTGTCCTAGTCCTATTAGATCTCTCAGCGACTTTTGATACCATCGACCATGGTATCATGCTGCAGCGGTTGAGGGGGTTAGGAATATGGGGCACCATTCTGCGGTGGTTCTCCTCCTTCCTCTCCGACCGCTCGCAGTTTGTGTTGGCAGGGGGGCAGAGGTCGACCTCGAGGCGCCTCGCATGGGGAATGCCACAAGGGTCGGTCCTCTCGCCCCTTCTGTTCAACATTTATGTGAAGCCGCTGGGTGAGATCATCCATGGTTTTGGGGTGAGGTGTCATCTGTACGCTGATGATACTTAGCTATACATCTCCATGCCAGACCACCCCAACGATGCCCTTGATGTGATGTCTCGCTGCCTGGAGGCCGTGTGGGTCTGGATAGGGAGGAACAGGCTCAAACTCAACCCTTCCAAGACCGAGTGGCTGTGGCTTCCAGCATCCCGATATAGTCAGCAGGTGCCATCGCTGACTAGTTGGGGTGAATCTTTGCCCCCCACAGAGAGGGCTCGCAATCTGTGTGTCCTCCTGGACGCACGGCTGTCTTTAGAAGAGCATATGACGGCCGTGGCCAGGGGGGCCTTTTATCAGGTTCGCCTGATTCGCCAGTTGCAGCCCTTTCTGGACCAGGACGCCTTGCACACGGTCACTCATGCCCTTGTCACCTCCCGGCTGGACTATTGTAATGCTCTCTACATGGGGCTCCCCTTGAAGAGCACTCGGAGGCTCCAACTGGTCCAGAATGCGGCCGCGCGGGTGGTTATGGGCGCAACTCATTGTGCCCACGTGACACCCCTCCTGCGCAAACTGCACTGGCTCCCAGTGGTCTTCCGAGTGTGGTTGGTCACCACCTTTCAAGGTGTTGGTCACCACCTTTAAAGCGCTCCATGGCATAGGACCCGGGTACCTTCGAGACCAACTTCTGCCACCAATAGCCTCCCACCGGCCAGTTTGCTCTCACAGAGAGGGTCTCCTCAGGGGGCCATCGGCCAAGTTATGTCGGCTGGCGACACCCAGGGGGAGGGCCTTCTCTGTGGGAGCCCCAGCCCTGTGGAATGAACTGCCCCCGGAAATGCGTAAGATCTCCGACCTCCGGGTATTTCGCTGTGCACTCAAGACCGTTGTTCCACCAGGCCGGGCTATCAACATAATAATTTTAAATTGGGTGTTTTAAATTTCTGGGGTTTTAAATTGAGCCGAATTATTTAATAATTTTAAATAATTTTAATTGATGTTTGTCTGTGCTTTTAATAGGCTGTACACCGCCCTGAGTCCTTCGGGAGAAGGGCGGTATAGAAATAAAATTATTATTATTATTATTATTATTATTATTATTATTATTATTATTATTATTATTATTATCATCATCATCATCATCATCATCATCATCATCATCATCATCATCACAGCACTTGCCCTTTGGAACATGAAACCACCCAAAATTAAGTTGACCAAATTGAGTTTTTCCAAAAATTATTAACCCCTGGGGCATAGGATCAGGACACTAGGTGAGCCCTCAATGTATTCAGTCGATTAATTGCTTTTGTTTTGATTACAGCTGTTTTTATTTCATCATTTTGTTTTGCTGATGATTGATTTGCTGATTAATTCTGTTAATCATCCAGAATCATGCTTACAAAATGGGTGAATATATTTACTGATATAAACAAATAAATACTGATTTCCTAAAAATAGTTCCCTATCAGTCAGAGGCTATTGGACATTTTGAGAATTATTGCATTTGCTAGTTCAACTTCCTTCAACCTTGATGCTCTTCAGGTGAGATGACATTAAAGGATGTTTACCTGAGAATTATGGAGCTAATATCAATACATTTCAAGGCACCAGGTTAAGAGAAAGTTGCAGAAAGTATCACACTTTAAATGGAGACTTTGGAATGTCTGGTATATTGAATATGACAGTTTCCGATATAAACCTAAATCTTAACAACAAGTGCTTCTTTTTTTTCCTCATAGGCATGCAAGACAGCATTCCACACTCGGGAAGTTCTGCAAATCAAGCACTCTGATTTGTAATTGTTTTTATTAGCATTTTGGAAATAAAACTTTTTTGTACATACAATGTTTTTTTACATACTTTAACTTGGCAAGCAAAGAGGTACAGAAAGGAAAAAGCACATCCTAATGTTAAATGAAAATGTTTGATAATAACTTAAATGTCTCAATAGTTACTAAAGTGTGATTTTTCACTGTAACCAGCAGAACATTGTCATCAATTAAGGAACATTTTTAGGTTTGATGAAGCCATGGTATATGGCATTATTACACTGCATAATAATCTGGCTCAGTCAATGTCCATTGACCATTTGAGGCACTTAAAAAGAGTTGGGTCATGTTTTCCTGATTTTCACTATGTTCAACATAACTTCATGAAAGTAATAAGAGAAGCAGATCTGATGAAATGTCAAAAGACAACAGCAAAGATGTTCAAATAAAGACACTGCCTTCAAAATTCTCATGTTTACTCAACGCCTTTCATAAACTCCAGGAATTCTGCAAAAGGAGAAAAAACAAAGATTGTATTCATAAAATGAGGCAACGTTCCTAACCTTTGCCACATTGTTCCTTTCAGCCCTTTCTTTCGTTGTGCTATTTCCTGCACAGTGAGAAATACAGTACTTTCATAAGTTTCATAAGTTTATTTGTCAAGCATATATAAGATAACAGGTAAAAGTATAAACATAATTTGAATACATGAAAAGAGTAAGTAACAAGAAATATTAGGACAGGGACAGTAGGCACCCTGGTGCACTTATGCACGCCCCTTACAGACCTCTTAGGAAATGGGGTGAGGTTAACAGTAGACAGGTTAAGGTTAAAGTTTTGGGGGTTTGGGGAAGAAACTACAGAGTCAGGTAGTGCATTCCAGGCATTGACCACTCTGTTACTGAAGTCATATTTTCTGCAATCGAGTTTGGAACGGTTTACCTTGAGTTTGTATCTATTATTTGCTCATGTATTGTTGTGATTGAAGCTGAAGTAGTCATTGACAGGAAGGACATTGTGGCAGATAATTTTATGTACTATGCTTAGATCAGACTGAAGTCGGCATAGTTCTAAGTTGTCTAAGCCCAAAATTTGGAGTCTGGTGGCATTAAGGTTTTTTATTGCAGTTTTTGGTCTCCAATTTTTCTCCATAACCCTTGGGCTCAAAGACTGGTCTTGATCCAAGTCATTCAGAGACCTTCTATGCCTGAATGTGGACCTGGGTCTCTTTCAACAATGATTGGTGGGTTTGTTTATGCCAAAGCTCATCCCATTCATACAGTAGGGATGGTGCTTTTGTTCTGACTTACATAATTTTTTTTAGGCAAAAATTGTGTTTATTATTTCTCAAGCCAAATTTTCAAAGAAAAAAATATTTAAGATGTATGGCCATGGATTCCAATGAACTGGCAAAAGGTAAACTCTTTATGTATGTGTGAATGTATTTATTTATATGCCACCCATCTCACAAAATGTGAGTCTAAGAGGAATACAATAAATAATAAAAACAGTAATTATGAAAACCACTCTACAATTCAAACATTAATATTACATTATAAAATATCAAAGGACTAGAGCACTAGATGTTACACGATTAAATTCCCATTTCCATGAGATCCTCAAGTCTGTTGACATATCCAAGTTGGGTTCTTTTTGGAATAATCATCAAAAAACAAATTCCATATATTGAAAAGCTTACCCATAAACTAACCGTAGACCATTGGGGAGTGACAAGCAGGAGAAAGGAGGACATAAACATGTGTTTTTATTTTGGGCAGGTGGCAGCACTTTTGAGAATTTTACTGTTCATTTAACCAGCAGGTATTCTTTTACTGATTAAGATGTGGCTCAAATTTTGAAATGATTCCTGTCCTCAGTTCGTTTTTATAGTACTGCATTTCTGGCTGTACTATTATACAGTGTATAAGCATAACTAACCATCATAGTCAATCTTGCCATCATTATTTTTATCGCCATCCTTCATTAGCTCCTCAATGTCATCTTCAGTGATGGTTTCTCCTGTAGCCTGTAACATGAGCTTTAGTTCATCCAGATCTATGTATCCATCTAAGTTTCTGTGAAAAAAAAGTATAAGCTAAAAAAAGAAGAAGCTCTTTTACAAATGTTACTTTTCACATTTTTTTACAAAGGTGTCTGCAGTTCCTTTACACATCTTGCATACTTAACAAAGACCCAGTCACCATTTGTCTTTTCATTTCAAGAGATTTGTGAGATTTGTAAGAGATTCACCTGGGGATTTGTGTGACTTCTGAGCTTTACAAAGAAAGGAATGGCAAAAAACTCCAAGTGACCAATTAACTGGAACTATTAAAATGTGTATTTCATAGACATATCACTACATTCCTAAAACAGCTTTTCCAGCTTTCCTGATATAATGGAGCTGCAACCTGCAGAATGTCCATCCCAGATGTCATGCCTAATGGAATTCAAGTTCCACCACATTTAATATTTGTGCGAATTCTTCCCATTCAAATACTGTGAGATCACTGTAACAGTCTTCGTTTCTTTTTGTTTGATAATCTATGGAATTATATTTTGGGGAATACAATCTTCTTGGTAATGACATCCAAATTGTCAAAAGCTCTTCCCAGAGATACTGAGATGGCAAACAAACAGACTTCTCATCATTAAAATTTGCACCACGGAAGTCAGAATAGAACAGTGAAAGAATAATGTTTACAAAAATCTTGTAGTAGATGCCTCACAAATTTCAAGGGAGTGTAAGGTTATGTGGGAATGACCTTGGGAGACAGGGGAAAGAAATGCAGTCAGAGTAATGATCAGATAAGAGGCAGTTTAACCTGCAGAAGGCATGTGGGTGTGGCAAATGTTTTAGAAAGAACCTTCCCTAGTTTTTTGGATTGTAAAGGTGAGCGGGGAGAAATGTATTTTCAGAATGGTAAGATTCTGTTAATGTAACCTTACAACAAAATAGAATGAGTTTATTTGGATGTGGTTCCTGTCAGGACTTCCTCTGAAGACTGACAGGGACACAGAGAGTTCTAGAATGTAGTTGTTCATATGGAGCAGGCCTACTCCATGAGGAAGAAAAAAAAATACTGCATATGTCGCAGGAACTTCTAGTGTCAACCAGTTCTATAAAGATAAAAACAATCTGTCAGTTAACCTGCCCCAAATTATTCAGTGCCTTAGATGTTAAAAAATGAAACTACAACAAGATTGAGTGATGCCTGGCAGCCTCTGCAGCTACTTGAACAGATGTGAAATATATGCTTGACTCAGCAACTTGGCTACTATAATTCTGAACTAGTTGGATTTTCCAGACTGACCACAGGGGAGATTATAGTATGTGGTTACCAGCACATAAATAGCTATATACATAAACAATTAGGAAAGAACAAAGTTGGTATATCAACTGAACTGCCAATCCTGGCCATAGAGGTTACTTGAGTCTTCAAAAGCAGTTGTGATTTTAGGAGAACCCACAAACACAGTCTTTCTAAGGGAATATAGTCCCATTTAGCTTGGGAAGATTCTCTGATTTCTGTTTCCAGGAACAAACTTGTCTGTTAGATCTCCTTCTGCCTCTTCTCAAAATCCAGTCACAGCTTATTGGCCTAAACACTCCATCGCTGGTTTCAGAACATGCCTTTTCTCCTCTGAATCAGATATGGAAAAATTGATCTGATTCGTTTGGTGATGGTACTTTATTTCCAATCTGCTAATGCCCGTTCCAAAGCAGATCTTATAAATATTAAATGGCTCCAGAGGCAAAAAGGGGCTTTATGACACTCCACAGCACAGCGGTCTCACAGAACAGCTGTCAGAGGCAGAGTCACCCAATTTGCTCTCTGAGACTGTCCTTGAAAACAGCAGTGAAATTAATGTAAGGTAAAGGTAAAGGTTCCCCTCGCACATATGTGCTGGTCGTTCCCGACTCTAGGGGGTGGTGCTCATCTCCGTTTCAAAGCCAAAGAGCCAGCACTGTCCGAAGATGTCTCCATAGTCATGTGGTCGGCATGATTAAAGGCAGTTCCCTTCCCACCAAAGGTGGTCCCTATTTTCCTACTTGCATTTTTTATGTGGTTTCGAACTGCTAGGTTGGCAGAAGCTGGGACAAGTAATGGGAGCTCACCCCGTTACGCGGCACTAGGGATTCGAACAGCTGAACTGCTGACCTTTCGATCGACAAGTTCAGCATCTTAGCCACTGAGCCACCGTGTCCCTGAAATTAATGTAACTACAGGAGAATATCAGGGTTGAAAGTATTGAAGATTGTTGGGAGATCAAGCAAAATCAACACAAACATGCCCGTCTGCCTTTCTGTCACTGGTGAACATTTAGTAAGCCAAAGGATTATTCTATTTCAAGAACTGGTCTGAACCCAGACTGAAGAAGTTTATATTCATTCATCTATGAAAAGAATCACAATCTAATAACATGTCTTTCTTTTTCATGGCTTGGTAGGAATTAGCCACTTCTGCACATGAATTGTTCATCCATGCTTCATTGAAATAGATTTCAAGAAGGCAAAGAAAATTGCAGATTGTATTGTCCTCCAGTCAGGTAGGTTTTCTGGTATCAGGCCTCCTGCCTGGTTGTTGTGTGAAAGGCTGTTTGTCATAACGTACATCTGGAAGAACTATTCTAGAAAGAAAGGGTGCAGGGAAAAAAGGGGGAGGAGACAGAATGAATGGTTTACCCGCTTCTGAAACAAATCCTGTCCATAGTGCATTTCCATCCTGATTTCCACCATCGGCATTTAGCCTTCAGGAATAAATTTTATTTTTTATTGTTAACATTATTAAAATCGTTATCCATCCTTGAATAATTATAAATGGAAAAAAAATGGAACAATGAAGTCAAGAAGCATTATATTACAAAAGAATTCTTTTCTATGTAAAGTTCATGCTGATTTTATGATTACTAATAAACATCTCTGTTAAATAGCTTTAATTTTATATCAGAAATTCAACACAATAGTCTTAACTTAGCAACTGTTTAGTTATGATGGTGATGAAAGAGTGATTTTATGACCAATCCTTTTATTTAAAACTTTAGTAGGCCTGTAAAGCAAGGAAAGCTGAAGTTATATCATAAGCACAATCAAGGTTTCATGTAGTGACAGCTTCACTTAATGACTAAATTTCCAGTCCCAACTGTGATTGCTAAACAAGAAGTATCTACATATGGAATTCAGCCATGACAGTAAGGTTTTCAATCTTATTTGTGTTATCAGTATGAAACTCATGGAGACTCAACTTGTTTATTGTATTCTCTTGGACTCTGGCTTATGCTAATAGAGCCACTTACTTATCAAACATTCTGAAGAGATCTGAAAGTTCCTCTTCTGATTTTCCTTTGCTGTCATCTTTCATACACCGGACCATCATAACTAAGAATTCATCAAAATCTACTGTACCACTGCCTGTCAAGGAAAAAAGAGCACCAAGTTAACTTCCTCTCTGTTTGAACTATTTCTCATATTAGGTTAGATTTCAAAACACAATACAGCAAATCTAAATTTACAGCCTTATACTGTATAAACACCAAGCAGAAATTGCTCACCATCTTCATCTACTTCATCAATCATCTCCTGTAACTCCTCAGGGGTAGGATTCTGTCCCAGCATGCGCATTACCTTCCCCAGCTCCTTTGTGCTGATACATCCATCCTCTGCACCCAGGACAAATATATCAAACGCAGCTTTAAATTCTGGAGAAACAGAAGCAAAACTAATTAAGAGTGTGATACCTCAAGACCAAATCGTGAGCATTGTTGATTCCTATTGTGCCTTGAATGTATCTATTCTGACCCTTTACTAAATTGGGGCACGATGACTATGCACCTGCAAGGCTTGCTAAGCAAAGCAACTGATTGATTTCTCCAGCCTTGTTTAACTTTCAAATGTCACCAGCCAATGGGAAAACATCCAGACATCATGACAGAGATGCAAAAAAGGAGAGAGGACTGGTAATCGTGAGCTTCAGTGCTCTTTCCCGATTTAAAGCTGGGAAATGAATGGGAAGAAGAAGTGAAATCACTCTCACTCTCACCCACACCCACAAACCCACAGTTACATTGACATATAATTTTTTTTTGTAAAGACTAATTTCCTTCAGGTTGGAGTCTGGAAACATTTTGCAACTGGGCAGTCTTAGAAATCAGATAAATAAATGCAGCAAAGCCAGAAAGTGCTTCTCTGGTACTGGTGTACCAGAAACAAAGCAAATCTGTTGTCCACAATGGTGGTCCCATGCCAGCATTTCACAAGCAGCAGAGGTTCCTATTGAAGTATAATCCTTTGCGCACACACACACACACACACACACACACACACACACACGGTGGGTTACTACCGGTTCGTCCCAGTTCGGGTGAACTGGTAGTGGCGGCGGGAAGCTCCGCCCAGACATCATCAAATACGATCTGCGCATGCGCAGAAGTGGCACATGGGCAAGCGAAGCGAGCGTGAATAAGCAAACCAGTAGCAAAGGTAAGTGAAACCCACCCCGACACACACACACACCAGTATAATAATAGCATGCCAAAATGGAAAAGCAGCCCTTCCACCCAGTTGCTTGTAGATGTTTTACAGGTCAAATTGTGCCTAGATTTTTGGAAAGAAAAACAGTGGAGGCAGAGGCTATGGCTTGGGAACCAGAGAAAGGGGTCCTTGGTGCTCTCTGAGCTTGCTTGTTTTCTTGGGAAAGGGGAATATGCTTGCATCAGCCTGAAATGGCCAACAAGCGCTTGAGCATCTGACTTCACCACCAGTTGAATAAGTGGGAAAGCATGTCAGATTGTACGTTCTTTGCAGCCATTGTTAGATGCCCTGGTTTAAGGGGTAAATCATTAGATTATCCCAAGTACAGCTGATTTAAGGCTATTTCACCCACAGGCTAGGGATGAGTTGAGGAACAGCAGAAAAGGATGTAGTCTACATGTTTGTGCTATGATGGGTACAAATCAGGGGTGAAATGCTCCCAGTTCGGACCGGATCGCCCGATCCGGTAGCGATGGCGGTAGGTGGTTCGGAGAACCAGTAGCAAAAATCCCTGCACTCCCCCCCCCATGCCCAGCTGAGCCGCGTGATCATCAGAGGCTGTTTTTTTTTACTTTTAAAAGCATTTTTTCTACAACCTCTTCGGCCGAAAAAATGCTTTCAAAAGTAAAAAAAAAAAAGCCTCTGATGATCGTGAAGCTTTTAAAAGCATTTTTTCTACAACCTCTTCAGCCAAAGAGGTTGTAGAAAAAAAATGCCTTTAAAAGCCTTTGGCAATCCCAGCTGAGTTGCTTGATCGTCAGAGGCTTCTAAAAGCATTTTTTTCTGCAGCTTCTTAAGGTTGTAGAAAAAATGCTTTTAAAAGTAAAAAAAAAAAAGTTGGCCACGCCCACCCAGTCACATTATCCCCCCCAAGCCACGCCCACAGAACCGGTAGTAACAAATTTTAGATTTCACCCCTGGTACAAATGATATACAAATGGGGAAGGGCCCAACTCAGTAGGATTCTAATCTTTGTCTCATATAATACCAGTTCTCTCTCAGGCATAAATGGGATCAGCTAAACTGGAGGTCTAATGTCTCCAAAGGTGCTTTTTCAAGAGGCAACTGGACTTTCTGGTTTTTCTTTGAAGATGTTTCTCATCCAAGAAGCTTCTTCAGGTCTGAAATGTCTTCAAAGAAAAACCAGAAAGTCCAGTTGCCTCTTGAAAAAGCACCTTTGGGAAACCATGACCTGGATGGCTGAGAATTTTCATAGTCATGGAGGTCTAATGGAATTTACTAATCAACAAGATCTATTAAACTTAGTAACAAAACATACTGTATGGATATGTTGAAAATTAATTGATCATTTTTATTCTAAGGTTCGCAATGGGAGCATGCACAGAAGCTTCTGCACATGCGCAGATCATCAGTGATGATGTCGGGGTGGGTGGGCGGAGCCTCCCATCGCCATTACTACTGGTTCGCAGGAACCAGACCGAACCGGGAACAACCCACCACTTGTCCCTACCCTTTTATATTTATTAGGCCATTCATTTTTACATGGAAAAAAGGAGAGAACTTTAGATTATGATGCAATAGGAATAAATGACTTGGAGGCAAGGGGACAGCTGAGTGCTGTTCTTAGGTCTCTCAGTCTTTTAAAACTACTATATCAGCTTTGTTTTAAGCTTCAGTTCAGTTGCCAAGCTGACATTTAATATCACATAAAGCATTTTCTTCCCTTTTCATAGTTTATTCATGGTATTGAATAATATATTGAAATAGATTTAAGTGATTTGACCTGATAAATAACAGTAAAATGAATTGTTTCTATTGGGTTTTATATATTTTATGAACTTTTGTGGAAGCTATCTTGTATTACTCTGTATTTTTTTTTAAAAAAAATCAGAATCTATTTCTTAAAATAAGCACAATCATTCTTAAAGCTGATTTTCATTGGTGATGGCTTTCTTTTAATGATTCCCAAGATTTGCATTCCAATTAAAGATAGACCCTTTGTGAGGTAATTGGAATAATGAAGTTTATATACTTACCATTTTTTTGTTCATCTGTCAACTGCTCAACCTATTAAAATGAAGATTCCATTGATGAATGTTTGTTTACATATTTAGCAATTTTCATACTGATGAACTATATCAAATTCTAAATATGGATTTGATGAACATCTTTCATGAAATTAAATTATGAATCATAATATATTTATTAAACATTAAATTCAGTAGGGTGGATGTTTTTTGGTAGAATTTGGAACTCTGAACCAATCTTCTTAAGTGTGTTAAATTACCACAACGTCTTGATTCAGTTAGTATTGAAAGTAGGAAAGCTAGTGCTCATCAAATTGTAAATCCAATTGAATGTACCCAAATCATTGACTTTTGATGAAGTGATTATGTAATAAAAAATTGCAGACAACCATCTTCCAGATGGCTGAAAGGCTTACTTTTAGAGTGAAATACAGCTAAAATTGAATTTCAAATGGTAGTTTCTATCTATAAACTCTATCAGAAGTAGCTGTGCTCATTTAAAAAATTGAAGTAAATCTGGGCTTTAGAAGGCTGCATTTTATTATTTTAATTTTTTGTAACTCATTTATATTATTTCAAATTAATAATTTGTTTTGTCTTTAGAGCAAAGTAAAAATTTCATGTCAACTCATTTTCCTGTCCTTATAATATTAGTATATAATCCTAGCTGTTATTTGCTATTTTAAAGTCCTTGAGTTTCATTGTTGTAAGACACCAATTAACTTCATCTCAGAAATACATAATTGCCATACTGGGGTATATGTCCTGTGATGTTATCTCAAGCAAATCCTGAACAGTGTCAGAATATGTCTGACAGAGCAAAGTTGCAGCTACCTTGACAAATCTTAGTTGGAATCTCTGGCCTAATTTAGGCAATATCCCTTATTAGTTTCCCCAGCTGCTTCCAGAGACATCGCTCCTAACACTGCCTATTAAAAGACATGGAAAGGCTTTTATCTCTTCCTTCTCCAAGTGAAATGTCTTTGGTGAGGAAACAAAGTGGGAGGGAGGAAAAGGTGGGATAGTGTTCAAGGGTTCCAAATGGCAAACAATGTCACATGGACACTCCATAAAATTTTGTAAATGAGGTCCCATCTAGAACAACTTAGAGACCGAACCAGTCAACAAATGGATAGCTGCAATTTGTCCAGCTGTTTATAATGGATTAAACATTCATTTATCCTTAAACACATATACAAAATTAAAAGGGTGTGAAAATATACAGATACCGGTACCATCATTCAATTATTCTAAAACAACAAATTATACTGCAAATATAAAACTGTTGTGCACATCCCTTCTCTCCGCAATCAAGTTTAGTTGTCCAGCTTTATTATGGGATGGCATTCACATAATAGAGACATAACTTCTGAATCAACACAGTAGATGAGATGCTTCCAGTGCAGCGCTTGCTATGTGCCATTGAGTTTAGTGGAATTTAATCCAGGTAGGAAGGTATATAGGACTGCAGCCCAATGATGGAGAGAAAAGCTCTGTCTGGCATACCAACTCACTACTTTGCAAATGTGTGCTTTATGTCTACTCAGTTGCCTTGAACCAATAACATATACACACACAAACATTTTAACAGATAAATTAGTCTTCAAATTGTTGGTGCTCAAGGGCAACAACACCAAAGGAGATTAGTTCAGAATCTACCCAGGTCTGATCATACAAGTTTATTTTTAACTAAACAATTAGTTAACAATACCAGGAGATAGGAGAAGTGTGTTCCTAAGAAATAATATTACATGAAATTACATGAACAAATACAAAATGGCTGTTTTCAACTACTAAATCAGCCAGCTAAAATAGGCAGGAATTTCCTTTTAATCACAGTATAGGAGATCTGTCCAAGGAAGCAAAAGTTGACTGAAAGGGTAACAACTTAGAAAGATTCCATCCAACCTGGCTAGTTATCTCCAGCTCAAAATTAGGTATTAATAGATGGATAACTATTTTATCTCTTGAGCAAAAATGCTGAAGCACTCGGTTCTGAAAATCTTGTCTGTAAAATTGACAGAGCTACAAATCAGATATTCAGCATATTATCTGGCAGGGTGAATCAAATCCTGGAAGGTGGAAGGAAGGAATAGTAAAAGGTCAAGTCTAGAAATGTATACACATTTTCTGCATGTATATGCAGAATTCCTATTACTCTTCTAATTCTTAAATTAAATTAGAATTCTTATTATACTAGAGTAGAGGTGTCAAACTCGCAGCCCATGGACCATGCCCACCTTGGTTTAGGGAAGGGGAAAAAAGTTATGATACATCACGTGACAATGTGACGCTGCAAGTTTGACATCCCTGTACTAGAGTATAATTCTGAGAGTCCATATGTTTCATCATGTGATGAAAACCATTGTTATACAGAGTGAAAGATCTCCCACCTTCTTACTAACCAAACTGGGGCAAGATATTGTTGACATGGATGGTTATGCCAAGTTTGCCAAGATATTATCGATTTTCTAAACCCATTTTGGTCTCATTTGACCACTGGGCTAGAACGGATATGATTATCAATTCCTATTTGGAAAGTATTATTGTTGATACTGTTGCCTTCAAAGAGATTCTTACTACCCTGTTTCCCGCAAAATAAGACATCCCCTGATAACAAGCCCAATCGGGCTTTTGCGCACATAGCAATAAGGCCAAGCGCTTATTTCAGGGTTCAAAAAATATAAGACAGGTTCTTATTTTCGGGGAAACATGGTAACAACTATAAGTTACAAGATCTTTTTGAGTTGAGCATTAGAAACACTATTTTGTGAGGCCTGCAGTCTTCCTGGAAATACATTTTTTTTAAAAAAAGAAGATGCTGAGGCTTTTATTTAATCCATTAGTTTTGGTATCTGGGACTTGTCTAGTTATTATCCTGTTCCCAATATTTTAAACCAGGCTCTTCATGCTTTGAAGATGATTTGGAAGAAGTGCTTCAGATCTTGCCAAACCATGAAAAAAGATTCTGCTCCTGTTTCACTGAGTTAAATCATTAAAATGTGTCTTTAATTTGACTCTTACAGAGGGTATTTCTTTTGCTAGGTCTCTATATAAGCCTATAAAAATAAAAAGTATGTATGATTTAATGAATAGCTGGCAGTTGCCCTGGTCATGCTGGCACAAGAACTGAAGAACTTCCAAATAATTTTCAAAGTGTGCGTGGGCAGCCTTTGTTTTTACCATCTACTTCAAATGAGTTGTAGAAGTTGTCCAAATTTTGAATTCAGATACCTAATTATTTTGTTCTCTCTATAAAAACCTGGACAAAGTGAGAGATAGACCACTTGATGTTAGAAACAAACTGTACAAGACAAAAGATTATATGATTAATAGCATTTTGGCTGGTGTGTGAAGGAGCTGATTTCCTCCAAAGCTTCAACCTGATACAAACCCAGCCCTAGTTGACAGATCATAGCTGTGCCTTGTTCACTTCTTTTGATTACTGTACAGTAGTGGCCAAAATTGTGGAAACCTTTTTGGAAAAGTGTATTTTTGAGGTTTGATGGCTAATAACACCACTTTTTTTTGGAGTACTACTATAAAATTATATATCAATGGAAAGATAATTCAATCAAGAATGTAATTCTTTTCAACCTTTGTTTGAGAGATAAAAGTGGCTTTTTTGTAGAATTCTAGATTTTAAGCCAAATTCCTGCAGCCTGCACCAAACATCCTTTGGTGCAGGCTGTGAACTCAACTTCACATTGCATTGCACCATTTCATCTTGTATACACCCAGATGATTTTCTTCTGTCACATAGGCACAGTCTTTTAATTCTTCTATCATCACTTGCTGTTGTGCATCTTTTCCTGCCTTTACCAGTGTGGTTTTGTATTGACCTAGTCTCCTTATAACTCTTCAAAAACTTAGAAATGCTACCTTTGGTTAAGTTTCCACCAATTTTTCTTCTCATTTCTTTATAACTGTAGCCTTGGTCACTTAATAATACTATTTTACATCGCTTTCTGGGCGACCAGTCAACTCTTTGCACCATTACTTTAGTTTTATTATGTTTTACAAGCTCACTAAATGAAAGAACACAAAAAACCCCAACCAACTTGATAGTGATCACATAACACACTGACAAATGTCCTCCTCTCAGCTTCAATACATGACATCAATAACTGAATCCTACAGTGATCTGATTGGCTCATTGCCAAAACAAGATGACACTCATGGTCATTGGCTACAATCAGATGAAGGAAAGCTATCAACCTAAGCAACCTTTTTCTGGTTATTTGGCTATAACTTTTCATAGAATATAGATAATTGAACAAACTTTGTTGCATTACATTCTTGATTAAATTATCTTTCCATTGATATGTAATTTTATGGTACTACTCCAAAAGGAAGTTTTGTTATTAGCCATTAAACCTCAAAAATACACTTTTCCCTAAAGGTTTCCACAATTTTGGCCACTACTGTCCTAATGGAGGTCTGAGAAGCTTACTTAGAAATGTCCATTAATTCATGATACTACACTACAGGTTTTATGGGAATAGAGTTCAGAGCTTTTGATATCACCTGTACTAGATACTCATTCCTCAATATAAGTCAGTATGCTAATTTTAACCTACACAGACCTAGATATATGAAAAATGGAGTAGTCAACCATTTTCCTCGTAAATGATTACAGAAACGTTCCAGAGAGGTCTTTGTTTCAAATACTGATAGAGCATTCTGGGCATGAAACTGGTTCCTTCCTTTTATGTAGTTCCGTCTTCTTTAAGGCTCTCATGAAGAATAAGTTCTCTAAGATTGTTTTCATTTATGCACCAATCCATTGCCACCTGCTTTTACCTGAAACACCTAATTGGTTTAAAGGGGAAATCTGACAAAATGAATGATGGAAGAGGAGTGGCAGCACCAGCAGGCAGAGTATAGCCTACTCTGCTGAGATAACAAAAGCAAAACGATCCCTCTTCAAAATTTCATAGTGAAAACTGAACCCATTTATTTAAGCCACTGTGATGGAACTGGAGCAGCTGTGATTGTTCCTTCATTGTAATGGCCAAACCCCTCCCTCCCCTCAACAGCCCAGGATAGCTGAAAAGTCTAAAGACAGCAAATGCCTCTCTGTTGTGCAGCCCACATAGTTGGACTATTTTGGCAAGCTGGCTATTTTTATGCTTTAGTGGCTTAGGTGCTAAGAAGACAGATAACACTTCTGATTGTTCCCAGAAGTGACTGACATTGGCATTTATCACAGGAGACGTAACATGTCTCTGGCAAAGTTGTATGGTTTAGAAGCATCTGGAAGCCATTCTAAACTTATCTCTGCATAAGAGATGAGTGAGAAAGTGATAAATCCATTGAATTTCAGAGATCCATATCAGTGGTAGTTTTTTCAAATGATCATTAAAAACACATTTAAAGTTATCACCAAATTTGCAATAAATGCAGGAAGAACATCTTGTTTTTTCATTTCTGGGTCACCCTTTCAGATACGACACACTTCATGTGGCATCATGACAAGAGACTCAGTCAAAAGATACTGGGTTCACATTTGTACATAGTTGTAAGGCATGCCAGGTGGATTTTTGACAAATCACATCTCTCAACTTTGATTAATCTTCATAATTGTGAAAATCAAATGAGTATAAGTAAGTGGGATACCACTGATACATAATAAATAATTCAAGGCAACTTCACTCTAGAGCCAAGCTAAGGAAAGTTTTTGCTCCTCAGGAGTCCAAAATTGGGAAATAAAGAAGTTAGCTTCTGAAAACACTGCTAAAAAACAGGAAAATATTCTTATTTTATTATATAAGAATGCCAAAAATTTTAGAAGTAAGAAATAACAAAGTACTTCATTATAGAAAACATTTAAAAATTGCAATGGGTATTACTAATAATACATTTCCTCAAATTTTTGAGCTGACATGTTCTTGAAAGATGGACACAATAATTTAATAACTTCAAGCTGACTCTTAGTGATTTGTAAATTCCAGCTCTTTTTTCAGTATAGGTAAAGCATTCAGAATCAAGAAGATAGTGACAAGCTATAAGATAGGGTTTTGTATATTTAAAAAATAAATAATAAAAAGGAATCTTTATTTTAAACTGAAATGTGTCCAATCCTGAACTATTCTTTTGCTGTGGAGAATTATTTACAGCACCGGCAGCTGTTTAAAGCTACTCTGGGGAGCTGAGTACTCATCAGGATGAGCTCAAGGCAGGAACTGCCCTTCTCCCATCTGTCTTATTAGTGTTTCTTAAGAAGTGTGTCTATCCAGTTACTCCACAGATATAGCAAGAACTGTTCTTCTATCTGCACTTAAAGTGGAATTACTGAGGATATTTCTATTATGGTCATTACATTATCCAATGATTTCTTTTACTTACAAGTATAAATGTTACTTAAACTCTTAAGTGGTCTAAATCTCCTGAAGAGTTTTAAGCAGCCATGGATTCTGGTGACCCATTTTTCATTAAGCACATTTATACATGCATATACACCGCTAGAATTTGTAAAATATATCTTCACATGTAACTAATTTTTGAGTTTGTCAGATAGAAATCTGGAAAAATGTACTTTCATAGAAAAGACAAAATGACAGGAAGCTATGCCATTTTCTGCAAAACACTTTGGGTGTAAAAATAAAAAGTTTTGGAGTTATATTAACAGTCCAAACCTATGCAGCAAACAATTATGTTAAAATCAGTAAAAGCCATGAGCTTTACATTATTTTTAGCTCTAGTTAGAATTGGGCTTCAACAGATTTTTGAATTTCCACAGAAAATATGAGGAGTTAGGACTTCATCGAAACCATCTTGCGATACCTAAGGAACTTAGGATATATAATAATGCCCTGCACCAAATTTAAAAAGTACATTCTAATTTATTAGTTTTAGCATTAATGAATATCATAATATGTAAAACATTTATAGGATCTGATTGAATATTAGGACTTGTACTTTATTAAAACATTTTCCTTACAATCCTAAATGTAATTCAGAATCTGCCTGAGATTTAATACAAGTCTGAAAGTTTTACTTACTGCTGCCTTGTAAATATCATCCATGGTTAGTTATTGTGGGTAGATGGAGATGTAAAATGGTACAGAGACAAATATCAACCCTCTGCCAGCTTTCTGTCCTTTGAAGCACTCCTTTTATAGTAGGCTGTCAGTCCTAAACGTGTCAGTCAAGAACTACACAGCCCAGTATACAGACATCTGTGAATGGCCTTGCTATTCATTCCAAGTCTGACTCTTCACCCTGTCTTCAGGGAGGTATGCAAAGTTTGTTACAGCTGACATTTCTAAATTCTAATCCAATTCTGTTGATGCTTTTTTTCCTGTTAGGAATCAGATGGCTCCTATACCACATATTGGGCCTTACGGCTCTCATGTTAGGCATTCTGATTCCATGTGGTTAATAGGGATTATGGCAAAAATCAAAATGCTTGTGAAGTCCCCATCCCCCTGGCAGAACAATAGTGACCCTCTAAAATAATTATCCTTTTAAAAGACCTCTTTCCCAAATGTTGTATGTGTATTACAGAACAAAGGATGGGCTTCATAGACATGCATTCTAGGCAAAGGCAACAAATATCAAGTGCTTCTTTCCACATACATGTTTATGTATGTGGAATGAAACCACCTCAGATTGTTTTGAGGGGATTGCTTTTTTTAAAATGCACTCCATCAACATCCCTGATTCCTCAGACAGAATGTTTAAGAGCCTGGTGGCCCTTTCCCACAAGGCTTCCTCAGCAGCATTATTGTATCACCTGATGATCTGACTGTTTGTACTGACTCTTTTATTTTGTTTGCTGCAAACATCTGTGCAAGCTGGGCAAATTCCTCCCTTTAAGCAAAACAACTTACTCAGCCATTCATATAGATTGTTCAGTGAGGCACTGGTATGAAGAGAATTTATGTGCTATAAAAAAATCTCTCTGTCCACTGATTGAGAGCTCCCCCCTCTGTCTAACTATATTGCACGCATCTAGGTAAAGCTGACAAAAATTAATAAGGCCACCCATTATTAGTGAATATACATGATCAATAATCAAGATTACTTAAATGTAACATTATCATTAAGACACACCATTTTTCTAGTTGTAGAAGTTTTTTTTATTTCTTCATTGTAATTTGGAGATGTTACATGTTTCTTCACAATTACAAAACTTCAATTTATTTTAATCCCATCATGTACATATATTCTTCATACATGTGATCATACAGTTTAAGAACCCTGTAAGAAATGCAGGCACAATAGATCTGAAAGGCATCCAAGGGTGGAGAGCTGCTATAAATCCTCGGTCATTTTCTTTAGTATCTTTTTTACTTTTTCTTGTCTTTCTACTCCAATCCCATTTCAAAAAGCATCAAGATTTTTTTAAAAATTCCAACTACCCATTCTTTCCCTCTGGCAAAAAAGCTCCATGTCAGACAGAACTACATCACAATGTAGTTTCACAGGTGAAACATCACTCAGCAGAAAGTATAAAAATTGATCTGATACACCCACCTGTGATCCAATATGTTTTGAAACATATTCAGCTCAAAGAAAAGATGTGGGAGGAAGAGTCCACAAGGGAAGCACCATTAGGTCCAATCCTGCCCTATAAAACATCATTAATATTTTCCTTGTAATGTTGGAGCTTTACCTACAAGACTTTTGCAAGCAAGCAGTACTTGTACAACACAGTGTATTTTATGCTTTGGGTGATTCTATGTATTAACAGGGATAGATGGCAAAGCAACTGTTACTTTATATTGCAACATATAGTTGATGTTAACTAAACCTGGTAAGGAAACTCGATCTGTTTGTGTTGTTAATAACATCATTGTCCATTAATGAAGGTACAGTACTTTATGAATCTGTTCCTAAACTTGACCTAAGCTTCTCAACCTTCCTGATCATAGGAACACCAGTCCAAATATTGTTAATGGAGAAAATTAGCATGCTGCATATTACTTGCCAAATTCTTGAAAAAAACAAAAGGAAAAAAAAACATTAAGTGAGAGTGGCAGTGGGACCACAGCTTGGAATAATCAAAAGGAATAATGCAGGATTTGACAATCTTTTGGTCAGTGGCCAGCAAGCCTACTTTTGGAAAACAATGGCTACAGTAGGTAGAAATCATATTACATACAATGTTGGAGAACCAAGGTTCTCTGCTTCCCTACCCAGACCATTGTTATTGCTTTCCTTTGTTTTTATAACTATAACTATAACTATAACTATAACTATAACTAACTATAACTATAACTATAACTATAACTATAACTATAACTATAACTATAACTATAACTATAACTATATATATATATATATATATATATATATATATATATATATATATATATATATATATATATATATATTAGGAGTGATGATTCATGCTTGTCTATTCTCTCTATAAAATGAAATCAAATTGGTGCTAATTGAAGACGACAGTGTGATCTTCAAAGAAGTGGCTTGGAGATTACACAGTGAACCCTAGAGCTTTATACAGCTTTGAAATATTGTTATATGCTTGTTCTCTAAGTGGCAGCAAAATGCTTAATACCACAAGAAAAGAAAAGAAATAGGAAAAGAGAAAAACAGAATGTGGGCAAGCAGGTATTGTTACCCATAGCAAACAAGACATTCTCTGAGACCTATCAGTAGAGGCTTCTCTATCCATTTTTTTTTAAAAAAATTTAAAAAATTTTTAAATTTGATTTATATGCCGCCCTTCTCCGGAGACTCAGGGCGGCTTACAATGCGTTAAGCAATAGCCTTCATTCTTTTGTATGTTTTATACAAAGTCAGCTTATTGCCCCCACAAACTGGGTCCTCATTTCACCTACCTTAGAAAGGATGGAAGGCTGAGTCAACCTTGAGCCTTGGAGAGATTCGAACCAGCAGAAATTGCAGGCAGCTGTGTTAATTACAGGGTGCACTAAACCCCATCCATCATGCTTTGCCATTCTCCCTTTCCTTCATATATGCCCAACTATGCTCAGAAGGACCACCTGAGTTTGGAGTCACTCCAGCACTCCAATTTACCAATTTGTTGGTAAGTCTGCCACTTACCAACACAACTGCTTTTAGCTAACTATCATATCCATATCAACTACTAACTGGTCATAGCCATGGATGAATACAGACTTGTACTGGATAGTGCAGAATAAACAATGCAAAAAGTGAATGAAGCCAAGTTAACAGGGCTGCTCTTCTGTCATCAAGATATTACTTAGTTTTTCCTCTTATTTTTCCCAAACATTTTTTCTAATTCATTTTAAATATTTTGGGGCACAATTCCTGTAGTAAAAATTTAATTTGAATTAAAAAGTGCTCCAAATGTGACATTTGTATTCACCCTTTCTTTTGAATTTTTATAAGCACCAATTTTTAATTTTTTTTCTGCTCCTAGGCAAAGGCTTAGGAACAAAATAGCGGATTATGTACACTAAAACAATCTCCCACCAGCAAAGTTTGAGGTTCAATCTGAGGCACCAGGATTTAATGCTCAACTCTTTGCAAATAATTAACATCAGGAATATAAACAGCTGTTTTTCCATCTGCTTTCAGAGTCAATGTTTCTCATCTTTCTCAGTAAATATAGAATCATGTTGTAAAAGATTTGCCTTGGTGCTATAACTTGTGTTACATGCAGTATGAAAAGTATTTATTTATTTATTTGTTTGTTTGTTTATTTATTTATTTATCTGTCAATAAGATAACAGATAAAAGTATAAACATGATTTGAATACATGAAAAGGATACAAGTAAAAAGGGACATTAGGACAGGGACGGTAGGACTCTTATCGTGAAATATCTCTGGACTCTCTCAATTGTATTAATGTCTGATATGCAGTGCGGGTTCCAGATAGACGAGCTGTATTCAAGAATTGGTCTAGCAAATGTTTTGTATGCTCTAGTTAGTAGAACAATATTACCAGAGAAGAAGTATGCAAGATTAGGTTAACAACTCTAAATGCTAAATAAATAAATAAATATTCTCATAACATACGTGTTTTTCTTTCATATCTCAATTTATATGGAAACCTTACATTTCCTAAATTCATGGCATGGGAATGTCTTGAGAAATTCTATTTCACTTTAGTAAGCCTTATTCTTAAGAGAACAGTGACTGGACTATAAGGCAATATTGGAATAGCACAACTTTTAGTTATCATTAAGCAGGAGTGATCAACACAAGCATTATTCATGCTAAATAAGTGAAAAGAATGTTCTTTCTGCGCCAACTCAGAAGGCTCAAACTGCCCAAGGAGCTGCTGATCCAGTTCTACAGAGGAATTATTGAGTCTGTCATCTGCACCTCTATAACTGTCTGGTTTGGCTCTGCAACTCAACAAGACAGACACAGACTTCAGAGGAAAATTAGAACTGCAGAAAAAACAATTGCTACCAACCTGCCTTCCATTGAGGACCTGTACACTGCACGAGTCAAAAAGAGGGCTGTAAAAATATTTACAGACCCCTCGCATCCTGAACATAAACTGTTTCAGCTCCTACCCTCAGAACGACGCTATAGAGCACTGCATATCAGAACAACTAGACACAAGAAGTTTTTTCCCAAACGCCATCACTCTGCTAAACAAATAATTCCCTCAACACTGTCAAACTAGTTACTAAATCTGCACTATTAATCTCATCGTTCCCACCACCCATCTCCTCCCACTTATGACTGTATGACTGTAACTTTGTTGCTTGTATCCTTATGATTTATATTGATATTGTTTCCTGATTGCTTATTTGTACCCCTATGACTATCATTAAGGGTTGTACCTTATGATTCTTGATGAACGTATCTTTTCTTTTATGTACACTGCCACCAAGACAAATTCCTTGTGTGTCCAATCACACTTGGCCAATAAAAAATTCTATTCTATTTTAGAAAAATACGTTAGGGTCCTGCCTTACGCCGCCGAGAGGCTGCTCCCCAATCCAGCTTTATTTCACTGGCCATGCTAGCTTAAAAGCAGCGATGGGAACGGTAGTCCACCACTTCTATTATATTTTTGTCTGCCTCATGATGGGTTCGACACTTTCGGGGGTTTCTCTACCACCTCTCTCACATTGTCGCTTTTACGACGCAAACAAGGTGGGAAAAGGAGGTCGAAAACCCTTACATCTTTCAGTGCAAATAAAAGCACC